TCGACGAGACTTGAGAAGGGCTACATTCGAGAATCCAAGTCGCCAATGGCATCACCACTGTTCTTTGTCGGAAAGAAGGATGGATCTCTCCGACCTTGCCAAGACTATCGCTACCTCAATGAAGGAACCGTCAAGAATGCTTATCCTTTACCACTGGTATCCGAACTCGTTGACAAGCTCCAAGGCGCAAAGATCTTCTCCAAGTTAGATCTTCGGTCGGGATACAACAACGTGCGAATCAAGGATGGAGATCAATGGAAGGCGGCGTTCAAGACCCATCGAGGGCTGTTTGAACCAATGGTCATGTTCTTTGGGCTATGCAACTCCCCAGCCACGTTCCAAGCCATGATGAATGCCCTCTTCAAAGACATGATTGACGAAGGATGGCTGGTAATCTACATGGACGACATCCTCATCTTTTCCAAGGACAAGAAGGAACATGAAGAAAGAACTCGACGTGTTCTCGAACGGCTACGGGACAACGACCTCTATCTGAAGCTAGACAAGTGCATCTTTGATGCCCCAGAAGTCGAATACTTGGGCATGATCATCCGTGAAAACCAGGTAGCCATGGACCCTGTGAAGCTGAAAGGAATACAAGACTGGACCGAGCCAAAGGACGTCAAAGGAGTCAGGTCGTTCCTGGGGTTTGGAAACTTCTACCGAAGGTTCATCGACCACTTTGCGGAAATCGCAAGGCCCCTCCACGATCTCACACGCAAGGCAGCCCCATGGAACTGGACCACAGCATGTCAAAAGGCCTTTGACGAACTCAAGTTGCGATTCACCACTGCACCGGTACTGCTCATGCCGGACATCAGCAAACCATTCTACGTGGAATCCGACGCCTCAGACTTTGCATCAGGAGCAGTACTGCGACAACGGGACACCAACGGGGATTTGCATCCCTGTGCGTACCTGTCCAAAGGGTTTTCACCAGCCGAACGAAACTACGAAATCTACGACAAGGAACTGCTAGGAATCATTCGCGCCCTCCAAGAATGGCGCCACTACCTTCTGGGAGCCGCACACCCGGTCACGGTGCTTTCGGATCACAAGAACTTGACCTACTACCGACAGGCACAACGACTGAACCGAAGACAAGCCAGATGGCTCCTCTTTCTTTCGGAATTCGACGTCCAACTGCATCACATTCCGGGCAAAGACATGATCCAATCCGATACTCTCTCCCGACGACACGACCTGATACCGGACAAAGCAACTGACAACAACAACCGAGTTGTCCTACCAGAGCAGTTATTCGTACACCTGGTGGACACAGAACTCTCGACGCGATTTCAAGCCTTCGCAGTCAAAGACCAGGTATTCCAGGCAATACACGAAGCCCTCAAAACGGGAACACTACCGCCTATCAAGTCCGCGTTGTCAGATTGGAGGGAAGAAGACGGGAAGATCTTCTTCAAGAACCGATGCTACGTACCGGCGGATGAACAACTACGAAGGGATTTGATCCGCCAACACCACGACACACCGGCCATGGGTCATCCAGGGAAGTTCAAGACCCTGGAACTTCTGCGACGGACATACTGGTGGCCCGGGATGCACACAATGGTCTCGCGCTTTGTGGAAGGATGCGCAGAATGTCAACAGAACAAGATCAATACCCATCCAACTGTTCCTCCACTCGCACCCATCTCGGCCGAAGGAGTCACACGACCCTTCCAACAGATCTCGATCGACTACATCACCGACCTCCCAATATCCAACGGTTATGATTCCATCATGGTCGTGGTAGACCATGGCCTTACGAAGGGGGTGATATTCTCACCATGCAACAAAACAATCGATGCAATTGGGACAGCCACTCTCCTCTACAAGGACGTATACAGAAGATTTGGACTACCGGACAAGATCATCTCGGATCGAGGACCTCAATTCGTGTCGCACGTAACCAGGGAACTAGGAAGACTCCTGAAGATCACTCTGTCACCTAGCACGGCCTACCACCCACAGACGGATGGACAAACCGAACGGACCAATCAGGAGCTCGAAGTCTATCTTCGCATATTCTGCACAGGCAGGCCAGACACGTGGGCACAACACCTCATCGACGCGGAAGTCGCACACAACCAACGCATGCACTCTGCACGCAACGCATCTCCGTTCTACCTCATGATGGGATATGATCCGGCCCTCATTCCGATTGCCTACCCGCGAACGAATGTTCCCCTGGTGCAGGATCGACTCACGGAGCTCCAGAAAGCCCGAGATGAAGCCCTAGCTGCACACGAACTCGCACGACAGGTCATGAGAGACAGGATCACGGGAAAATTCACGCCATTCAAACTCGGACAGAAGGTGTGGCTGGAAGGGAAGAATCTCCGACTATCCTACGCGACGAGAAAACTGGCACCTAAACGGGAAGGACCGTTCGAGATCGTGGAAGTTCTCAGCCCCCTCAACTACCGACTCAAGCTCCCAATCACATGGAAGATCCACCCCGTGTTTCACGCAAGTTTCCTAACCCTTTACCACGAGAACAACACACACGGCCCCAATTACACGAGGCCACCTCCTGATGTGATCGACGAGCAAGATGAATACGAAGTCGAGGCGATCGTGGGACACCGGAAGAAGAAGGACGGAATACACTACCATATCAAGTGGAAAGGATACTCCAGCGGAGAAAACACCTGGGAACCGGAAGACTCGTTGATCCCACATGCCCGAGACATCCTGAACAGTTATAAGAAGGCAAAGAAGCTGCTCTGAACCGACAACATGCTCGCCTTCTTCATCGTCTACTGCTTCTT